TATGTTTTGGCCTCGATTCCCAAATACGATATAGCTATTTGATAGACAAGCTTGTCCAAGTTGTCGTAATTACAACAACTCTTACTTACGCCGTCAAGGGACTATCTTATAAACCTTGTGTTGAATTTCTTCGGGCTACCGTTCGCATCGGCTGCCTTGAAGCTCTGTCTTCTTCATGTTTGCGCAGGCGTGGCCGACACAAATACACAGTGTATTTTACGACGTCGAAACAAACAAATATCACGTCTCCGTCATGTTTTAATGCGAGCTGCCTTGTGCTGTCATTCACGAAAGATCAGCGCGGCGAAATAAAATCTCACGAACATGTGCGCCGTATCGCATCTCTTTTATTATATACACGGATAAAATTTTATATTGATGTTTTATTGATATTTAATATAAAACAACAATGTACATTTTTCACTAGTGTATGTACGAGAATGATTGACGGCTAATAATTGTGATTATTTTAAAATACATATATTTTTACGGCTCGCGAGAGAGGGCGAGACTGTAAATATAGGCCTGCCGCCCATGCACCGCAAGCATTTGTATGTTAAACCGTTAACGCAGCGCCCTGATCCTCACGAGAACTTCTCTCAAGCATTACAGACAAAAGCTAGCGTACACTAGCGCTAGTTGTTACGCCTCTGCCACAATGCCCTACGGTACACAGGCGGCCATGAATGGAACTAACACCATTCAGCTGTGTTGACGGTAGCGAAAATACGACGTCAATTTTTTTTCGCGAATGGTTCTCTCATCGCTTCGGACTTGCGACTGCGACGAAACTTTCGCCGCCACCTCGCGTGCGGAATCGACCGAAGCTGCCCTACAGACCATCTTCTCGCCGCGACGTGTGTCCGAAGCTGTGCCAAAACTACCCGCTACCGTGACGTACCGCTGAGGTTCTCAAGGCGCCTCTTGAACAGTCTGGGTCGCCCACGGGCGGACGTCAGCGGCGACTCTACGCGTCCTACCGGACCGTCGTGCGACGCGACGTATGCGTCCAACACTGCTACAAGACGTACATCGTGGCACGACAATGTCACTGCACGCGGCGGAGGCGACGTGGCGCGATGGCGGTATAGTACTGGTAGTCGGGTAGCGGCGGCGGAGCTAGCGTCATCGGCCGGTGGCGGCGCGGGCGGACGGCGCGTCACGTTCGCGGATGAGCACGCGCCTCATCTCTGGACGCCACGACGAGGGCTGCCGCACGTAGGACGGCCGCTCGCCGTTTCTGCGAGTGCTGCCTCTCCTGGCGACGGCGGCGGCTGCGAGCGCGTTGCGGGTAGGCGCGTTCTTCGAGCCTCGGCAGCGGCCCCTGGCGTCGCTGGTCTCGCCGCGGCGGCGTTCGCCCGCAGCGTCGCTTCGCTGCTCTCGACCACTTGCACCGACGTGAATTCGGACGCGGCTCGGAGGAACCTGTGATAAAATCTAGACGCGCCCGCTGAATAACGGATTAGCAGGGAGAGTCGACCGCGCTCGAAGCCAATGAATGATCATGATGGCGACGACAGCAGAGAGCGACTCGAAGTTTAACGATACGCGCGCGCCTTGGTCATCCGTCCACGCACGACAGCCAACGCCACGCAGCCTAAAACAGTGGACCGCGCCCATCGGAAGCCATCGACGTCGTACCAGGCCAACGCGCACGGCAGCATCACGGCGGATCGCGGCCGATCGTCGTGGACCCGCGACGCGATCTCGCCGCACGTCTACCGCGTCGCCGTCGGCGGCCCCGTTGCCGGCGGCAACGTCAGCATCCTCGACCTCGACTGGCGTACGTTCGACGACGCGGACGCAGACGTGATCCTCTCCAGCGTCGACGTCGTCATGGCGACGGACGCCGTCTACGACGTCGACGTCATCCCCGACCTCGTGAGCGTGTTCCGCGCGTTGTCACGGCGACGACGGCTGCGCGGCGGCAGCGCGCTGCCGGCGTATGTAGCGTGTGCGGTGAGGAGGATGGAGACGACGGAGTTTTTCCTGAGGCTTCTCCGGGAGGCGGCGATCGAGTGGGAGGAGGTCGCGCTCGCAGAGAACCCAGTCTTCTTCTACGGGAGGGACGTCGAGTACAAGATGTTCAAGTTGTGCCTGTAGGTGCCGTTGGAAGCAGCAGCCGGTCCGGGATCTATTAGCTTTTGATCGCGATTTGTTACTTTTTTGATTGAATTTTACTGTAGGTTATATAGTAGAAATAAAAACACATGAAATCAGGACTGGCTGGGAAGAACAGCCCATCCCCCAGTCTAAATTAACTCATTTTAAATTACATATGATGTGATATTCATAGTGAATTTTTCATAGAGTATACCCTTTTTTCCATAATAATGCGCAGAATAAGGTATTCCAGTTTCGAACGCGTGAATACAAATTGAAGTCTTGTTATTTTATTTCATTGTTTCTTAAGAAAAGCGATACAACAATTCTTTCACGGGACAACTATATTGTTATAATAGTTATAATAGTTAGAGACATTATTGGAAACACACACTGAAGTATTTCTAATTACACTAACTTGACATCTTTAAAAAAAAAAAAAATTATAATTCACAGGTTGCACTTATGAGTAAATAAGCAAACTGACACGAAACGGCAAAGTACATGTATGTCTGGTACTATAAGAACGTTTCCTCTATATTACTAGAAGAGCTAACATCAACAAAACATACAAGACAGGTGTGCATGGTTTCAAAAGAATGAGTCAACTATCGTCTTGTGTGTGTAACAGTGACACATTTATACAATGGACGTGTTTTTTTAAACTAGGCTTTGTATGTATGGCTAGTATATATATATATACACATAATATACACATTACAGTTCATTACAGACATGTGTACACACCCTGCTACGAATGCTATAATATTTATTATTTGGTTAATGACATCATATGCCTGGGATGACAATAACACAAACGAAACACAACGGCAACGGCCATATCAAACATCCAAATTATCTATTGGTCCTCGTTGCTCACAGCTTAATGTGCTAATCGCCAAAATCGCACTTTCACATGAAAATCTTTGGTGAACAAACCTATTTCTGCCATATCGCAACCAAACATGCTACACTTACCAAAGCTTATATACGATATAACCTAGAGCCCTCGCAGCAGGCGCCCCCTACCGGACGCGCTTCTCACTGCAGCAGCACCTACTGGCAGTACCGCCTAACTAGAGGTGTCCCTCACAGCAAGCACCTCGTAAAGCAGTACTATCTGCTGGAACTGCCCTTTCAGCAGGCAATCCCTACTTGAGCCACCTACTACAGCAGGAGCTACACCACCTGGAATTGCCCCTCACAGAGCAGATGCCTCCCCCTATTCGTGCTATCTACTACAGCAGGCGCCAGCCTTTGGAGGTACCTCAACCTGCCACAGCAGCAGCCTCCCAGTATTACCCATGGCAGCAGGCACCCTTTACTGGCGTCGCCCCCTACAGCAGGCGCCCCCTGCAGTCCTGCGACTGGCAGTAGCAGTAGAGCACCTTTCCGGGCACGCTGCCAATCTCGTAGCTGTAGTCCCACGTCAGCTCGCCGCCCGCGCGTATCAGCTTGTCGGAGAAGAACGCGACCCAGGGGAAGCGGAGGTCGTGCGTGTCGACGAACACGTTCTGCACGAACACGTTCGGCGAGCAGGAGTGGTTGAGGTAGCGTCCGAGGTTTCCCTGCGACTTGGCGTCCATCACGAAGCAGTACTCTTCGTTGTACCACGAGCGCAGTGGCTTGTAGCGCGTCCGCTTCTTCTCTTCCTTACCTGCGAAAAGAGGAGGCGGCGGAGGTTTACGCAGAGGATATTGGTACCTGCACAGAGCAGCCACGGCAGCGTTAACGCGGAGGATATTGCGGTCGACTCTTAACGTGCATTTCTTTGTGCGAGTTTCTTTGGAAAAGACACGGCGGTAATGCGGAGGATATCTTTCCGTTTTCGGCATCTCCCCCCCGAATAGCTTCACATACAAATGCATATGGATACGCGTTGTGTCGGCAACGTGTTACGTAATTTCTTTTACGTTTGTTTTTTTTTTTGTCGAGCTCGCGGAGACGCAACGCTAAGACGCGAGGGCGGCGACGGTTGATGTGGAGAAAATTCAGTAGTCAAAAATCTCATTTCTGCTTTTAAGCAGAGTTTCGTTTGTTTTTTGGTCTTACTCTCGAAAACGCTTTCGATGCTTTTTGTGCGTGTCGTAACAAAACAGTTACGTTTGTTAAGTTAAGACGCCTCAGGCGATATTCTGAATATTAAGTATGGCTTTGGCCAGCAATTTGTGTTCGTTTGGCAATGGCCCATCGCAAAATGCTGTTTACAGTTAATGCGCACATTTATATTATTGAAGCTAGTGCAACAAATTGAATTTAATTACCGTTATCAACTGCTTGATGGGCGTATTAAACGGTTGAACACGTAAAATAGTATTTAACATTAACACGGGGGGGTAAAATTTCGTTTTTTTAATTCAACGAACTTATGCGTTATACATCGTAACGTAATCTGCGTTCGGTCGATGTTACATTGTTCGTCTGCGCGTTCGCGTCTCGGGCCGTCACCATCCATCGTCGACAGCCTTTGATCTTGAGGGGAGTGCTACAGTAGCTGCGGCTCGCTTGCCTTGGGTCGGAAGCTGCAAAGTCGCGAAGACCTTCCGAAGGCTCTGCTGGAGAAACACGGAGTGAAGTGAACGCGAGCACTCGCAAAAACGCGTGATGCGGCTTTTCTCTCACGTTGCTTCTTGGCGTTAAGTTTAATCGTTAGCAGTTTGCTTGTGTTTATCGACGTTTCAGTTGCTTAAAACTCTCTTTAGCAACTTGGCTGTGACTAACTGCCTCCAACCCATTTATGTTTATGCTCCCGCCCCTCCCACGCACCCATACACCCACTTGCACTCTCTCCCACAACACCCATTTATGCTTCGCCCCCTCCACCACCATACACCACTTGTGCACTCTCTGCCCACAACCGCATTTATGGCTCCCACCGCCACCAGCCGCATAACACCACTTGCACTCTAGCTCCCACAACCCATTTATGCTCCCCCCTCCCAGCACCCATACACGCGCACTTGCACTCTCGATGCCCACAACCGCATTTATGCTCGCCCATCCCACCACCCATCACCCCTTGCACTTCTCCCCCAACCATTTATGTCCCCCCTCACCACCACGCTGCATGGCACGCCACTTGCAGCTCTCTCGCCGCACACACCGCATTTAATGGCATCCGCCTCCGACACCACCCATAACACCGAGGCCATTGCACTCTCTCCACATACCCATTTATGCTCCCTCGCTCGCCACCCACCGTTCCGCTCCCGTCGCTCCTCCCTCCCTCCCCCTTCCCCACTCACGGCCTTGTGCTTCAAGGACTTCCCCCTCCGTAGCTCGTCTTCGGTGTCCTCCGTCCTCGCTCTCTCTGCGCGCATCGGCCCGTCCGTCCCTCGGCCACCGCACCCTCCCGGGCCGCAGGCCGTGACTACGTTGCTGCTGCGGCGTCCGCCGCCACCTCGGTCGAGCGCGCTCCTTTCGTGCGCGGCCCAGGCACTCGCTCGCGGAGAAGTCCCTGCTGAGAATAGGTAAATACAGCTAATGAGGGAGGGGAGAGCAGGGGAGGGAGAGAGAAGAGAGAGAGAAAGGGAGTGGGAGGGAAGGAGAGAGAAAGAGAGAGGAGGCAGGAAGGAAGACCAGAGAGAGAGAAAGAGAGGAGAGAGGAGAGAGAGAGAGAGACGAGTAGGGGGAGGGGAGGGATGGGAGAGAGAACAAGAGAGGGGCAGGAAGGAAGACAGAGAGAGAGAGAGAGAGAGAGAGAGAGAGAGAGAGAGAGAGAGAGAGAAAGAGGGAGATTTCCAGGCGTGCTGATTAGCACGCAATAATTTCACACACCCATGTATCTCCATTAGAGAGACAAATCTGCCCAAGTAAGCAGGTATCAGCGTGCAATCGTTCCACTCACCTGTGTAGCTCCATCTGATATGCTTTTCACCCAAGCAGCTGTGTTCTCCTTCGCACTGTCACTGCTCAGCGAACGCACAGACCTACGCACCACAGAGAACATGGCCGACGTCGGTTACCACGACAACAGGTGATGCTACTCGCCGTACAACACGTGCTTACGCGATAACAATTCAGTTTGTTTGACAACTGAACAACAAATAAACAAATGAATTGAACGACAACTGAATTGATGCTTGATCAATTCAGACAGTATGCTCTCCTGAAGAAGAGATTTGTTTTATACGGTTGAAGAGTCACCGTGTTTGGATTTTCGTTAGAGGATTTGTCCTTATTCGTTCTCTGGATAAGATTTGGTTAAAATCTTTGTGTTTGGACGAGGTTCGGCTATAGAGAGTTGCTGTGTTTGCATGTGAGATTTCTTTCGCATTAGAATCACAGGACGTACCATGGCTTATCGTTGTCCGTTGACTGTCGCTTCAGCACTAGCTTGGCCAGACCTACGGTGCTTCGTTTCCTCCTACTACAAAAGAATAAAGAGAGCGGTCAAGCATTACACTGATCCGCATTTCAAATCTACACATGTTAAAAAAAACAAAGGCACACATAAATCGCATACGATACACATACATAATACACAACGGAATAAACATAATACGTAATAATTATGTACATAATAATATGTGTAATACATAACGGAACTAACAACTATGTTATGCAGATGTAGTCGTGGTTGACAACTATACTCGGGAAGAAGGCAACGATGATGGAAAGAATAACACAAGGTCATGTTCACACTGCTTGTGGGTGGGAGGTGGAGGGAGAATGGTGCGTTCTGCCGAGAGGAGAGAGATACCTGTTCTCTTCATCTTCCTTACAACTCTGCTGCTCTTTCCCCTTCCAGTAACTCTTCCAGCAGTGCGCCGTTAGCGGCGGCGCGTCCGGTGGAGGCATTAGAGCAGAGCCACGAGCGGTAGGGACAGAACTACTGGAAGGCGAAGGATACGGAACAAGAGAACAGCTGTAGGCAGGACGCGTGCGCCCGTGGTCCGTACAATGTTTACAGCACCTGGAATTCAACGCTGGGTGAATATCGAGGAAGAATTTAAACTGCGAGGTATTTTCTTACCTTGCGTCTCGAGGTTGCTTGGCAGCATCTGCGGCAGTGCCTTCAGGGGCTGAAAAATCCCTGAAAATAAGAGAATGATGTTAATTAGTTACATCTACACACTCGCACGCAGGAACGCACACTTACAGGGATCGAAATTAGCGGTATCCCGATATCCGCGGGATAGTAGATTCTTGTGTTGGGTACCAGATTTGAATGCTTGGTATCCCGCCGGGATAGTAAACAAAAAATCGTCAAAATCGGGATAGTGGTTGTTGAGCAATATTTGCAAGCGCAAGCGTAAGCGTAGCCGATGTTGATCATAAATGTGATGTGTATACATTGTATCAAGCGAATCAGACAATACGTCTGCAGTGTACTTGTCTGTGCATCTGTTTTCATGTTTTTATATAATAATTACATTATACAATTATTGACCTATTTTCAGGTGAATACGAGGATTTATTAACCCGAGACGGTGATATTTCCCGAGGCCGGAGGCCGAGGGAAATATCACCTTCGAGGGTTAATAAATCCTCGTATTCACCTGAAAATAGGTCAATAACTGTTTTATTATATGACATTTTTATAAACTTAACCATGTGTAGCACCAATCCATACTTAGTTTTAAGCTGGTCATCGGAAACAGTTCCAAATCTTGTCAAGCCGGGTTTGTTTACACTGTCGTCTGCCATTTTCACTCCAGTGAGGCAATGACAATCCGCGCTTCTGATTGGTCAAAAATTGCAGCACAGGTTCCTGGATTATGATATTCACCTGCGAGGCGCCCGACGGGGTTTTGGATTGTTATATTCACCTCGCGTGCACGGATTCTGTAGGTTTCGGTGGAACATCGCAATATATTTAGACCTATAAGAGGGGTTTTGACCAATCAGCGTGTGGGAAAAATGACAGTCATATAATAATACATATTAATAATTTTCAAATGCTATTACAGTAAAAACCCGCGTATAAGAACATAGATTTTTCCAAGTTAGCCTCAACATGTTCTTATATAAATGGTGCTTACTGAAAAATTAGGCTCAAAAGGTTCTTAAATAGGTTCTTAATTGTTTCTACTTTTAATATGTACTAGCTGAAACCCGCGCTACGCGCGGGCTTAGTCACTGTGATACATGTGTTACCAGTACAGTAGTGTTATGTGTAAGGTGTTATATGGAGAGTTTAGTTGTTGCACATGTTTGTTTTTTTATGGTTGAGATAATATTATATGATATATATAATATAATATTATATCGCACGACACACAAACACGCACGCACGCACGCACCACGCACCGGCACCACACAACACACACACACAAACAGCACGCACACAGCGCAGACACACACCACAGCACACACACAGACACGCAAAGTCATAGACATATAACAGTTACTGATATGTCTACCTATGTCACACACAGACACGCAAAGTCATACATATAACAGTTATTGATATGTCACGCTACTGTCAACACCAGACACGCAAAGTCAATACATATAACAGTTATTGATATGTTGCCTCTGCATCAGTCATACATATATGTTACCTATATGTATTTACGTATATGTTTACCTATTTCTGCGCATGAAGGATGGCAATCGCTTCGGGGATGAGTACATGGCGGAACTCGACCACATAGAGGCGTCGCGCGAGGCGACAAAGGAAGGATACGGAGGAGCGGGACGTTGGTGGGCCAGAGAAGCAGGCGGCGAAGAGGAGGAGGAGAGCAGTAAGGGAAGATGCTGGCGCAGCAGGAGGAGCGTGACTCTGTGAGGTGCTGCGGTGCTGGGGGAGAAGGCAGTAAAATAAGCGAGGAGGGAGGAGGATGGAGAGGAGGAGGAGGAGGAGAGCATAGGAGATGCTGGCGCAGAGGAGGACAGCGACTCGTGAGTGCTGGGGTGCTGGGGAGAAGGAGGTAAAAAAGGAGACGCGGAGGAGAGGTGGAAGAGGCAGGAGGAGAGGAGGCATAGGAGATGCTGGCGCAGTGCTGGGGTGCTGGGGGAGAAGAGTAAAAAGGAGAGGAGGAGGTAGGAAGAGAGGAGGAGGGAGAAGAGCGATTAGGGAGATGCTGGCGCGTGCTGGGTGCTGGGAGAAGAGTAAAAAAGCGGAGGGAGGAGTAGAGGCAGGCAGAGCATAGGAGAGGGCTGGCGCAGAGGAAGACATGCCGACTCGTGAGTGACCTGGGGTGTGGGGAGGTAGTAAAGAAAGGAGAGGGAGGAGTGTGGAAGAGGAGGAAGGAGGAGAGCATTAGGAGATGCTGGTGCCAGAGGAGCGTACGGACTCGTGAGGTGCTTGGGGTGCTGCGGGGAGAAGGAGTAAGAAAAGGAGAGGCGAGGGAGTGGAAGAGGGAGCGAGGAGGAGGAGAGTCATGGAGATGCTGGGGGACGCAGTGCTGGGGTGCTGGGAGCACCCGAAAGATAGAGAACGAAGGAGTAAAATGAGGCAGATGCGTAGGAGGTGAAAGGGAGGAGGAGAGGAGAGATAGGAGGATGCTGCGTGCAGAGAGGACAGTGACTCGGTGGAGTCGCTGGAGGTGCTGGGGGAGAAGGAGTAAAAAGGAGAGGGTGAGGAGGTGGACAGAGGGAGGAGGAGGGGAGGAGGAGGGAGGAGAGCATAGGAGATGGCTGGCCAGAGGGAGTAGACAGAGCTGTTGAGTCGCTGGGTGCTGGGCGGAGAGGAGTAAAAGGAGAGGGAGGAGGTGGAAGAGGAGAGGATTGAGGAGGAGGGAGGAGGAGAGCATTAGGAGATGCTTGCGCAGTGCTGGGTGCTGGGGGATCAAGAGTAAAAAAAGGGAGAGGCGAGGAGGTGAAGAGAGGAGGTTGAGGGAGAGGCATAGGAGATGGCGTGGCGTCACGTGCTGGGTGCTGGGAGAGAAGGAGTAAAAAAGGAGAGGAGGCGTTCAAGAGGAGGAGCGAGGCCCGAGAAGGATGCATAGGAAGATGCTGGCGCCAGTGCTTGGCGGTGCTGAGGGGAGAAGGGAGTTAAAAAAGGAGAGCGGAGGAGTGGAAGAGGAGGCGGAGCGAGGAGAGCATAAGGAGGATGAGCTGGCGCAGAGGGGACAGTGACTCGTGACCAAATGGCTGGGGTGCTGGGGGCAGAAGGAGTAAAAAAGGAGAGGGGAGGAGGAGTGGAAGAAGAAGGAGGAGGAGAGAGCATAGGAGATGCTGGCGCAGTGCTGGGTGCTCGGGTCGGGGCACTGAGGGTGGCGGGGTGGAGTGGAGGCACGCGCGGAGACAGGGGGCAGTGGTGTGTGGGTGGCGGGGATCACGGGAGTCTTCGGCGCGGCTCAGGTAGGCGGGCGCGACGGGACGCACGTTGAGTGGCTGGTGGGGGGCTGGTTGGCTGCGACGGAGGGGGCCGGTGGTCCGATGCGGGGGCTCGCGGCGCAGGGGAAGGAGTAAGAAAGCGAGCGAGGGGAGGAGGTGAAGGAAGAGGCAGAGGAGGAGAGTCATAGGGATGCTGTGCGCAGAGTGGAGCAGACAGCGACTCGGTGTAAGTGCTGGGGGTGCGTGCATGAGCGGGGAGAAGGAGTAAAAAAGGGCAGAGCGGAGAGGAGGTGAAGAGGCAAGATGAGGAGCCGCAGGACGAAGAGGCATAGGGAGGATGCACGTGGCGCAGTGCTGCAGAGGTGCTGGGGGAGAAGGGAGTAAAAAAAGGAGAGGACGAGTGTGAAGAAGAGTGAAGAGGAGGAGAGCATAGGGATTGCTGAGCGCAGGACGCAGAGGACAGATGATTCAGTGGCAGTGCTGGGTGCTGGGGGAGAAGGAGTAAGAAAAGGAGGAGCGATGGAGGTGAAGAGAGGAGGCAGGAGGATGGCAATAGGAAGAATGGTGCGCGGGAGGAGCGACAGGACTCGTGAGTTGCTGGGAGATGTGCATGGGCGGAGAAGGAGGTCAAATAGACGGAAGGAGAGGAGGTGGAAAGAGGGGAGGAGCGAGAGCATAGATGTATGATGGCGCAGTGCTGTTCGGTTGCTGTGGGGGAGAAGGAGTAAAAAAGAGAGGGAGGAGGTGGAAGAGGAGGGAGGAGGAGAGTCATAGCGAGATGCTGGCGCCGTGTGGGGTGCTGGGGGAGTCGAGGAGGTCGAGTAAGTAAAAAAGGAGAGGAGAGGAGGTTGGAGAGGGAGGAGGAGGTGAGGAGCAGTAGGCAGATGCTGGCGCAGAGGGGAGCAGGCGGACTCGTGTATGTGCTGGGGGTGCTGGAGGAGAATGGAGGTAAAAAAGAAGCGAGAGGGAGGAGGTGGAAAGGCAGGAGGAGGAGGCGCATGATGGAGATGCTGGCGCAGGATGCTGGGGTGCTGGGGGAGAACGACGAAAAGGAGAGAGGAGGAGTGGATCGAGGAGAGGAGATGAAGAGATAGAGAGATGCTGCGCGCAGAGGAGGACGCGATCGTGGTGCTTGGGGCGGGGGAGCCTAGACGAGCAGGGCTCCTGTCTGATGGGGGACGAGGATGACGAGGGGAAGGAAGCAGAGGCAGGAGGGGTGGAGTGTGAAATAGACAGGGGTGAGCCATGGGAAACTGCGTTGGCTGTGCATAGGAAGACAGGTACTTCGTGAGTTCTGGGGTTCTGCGGAGGGGATAATTCAAATGTAAGTCATGGTCGAAAGTTTAGATTTTTTATGGATATTCATCGGGATACCAGGTATTGAAAGTCTAGGTATCCCCCCCCAAAGATCTGGTTCCTATTTTTGCGATAGTAAATTTCAAACAATGTTGTATCCAAAATCTGAAAAATATGCCAATAATAGAGGGTTGAAGAATTATTAATTGTAATGTCAATTCATTATGTAAAAAACATGTAATAAGCCGGTAGCACAAGACAAGTACTCACTGCAAACGTTATCTGTCTAGACAGCTTGTTCTGATTTCGCGTTGATACAGATGTATACAGCAATCACATTATGATGCGACCACACGTCGGCTACGTTTGGGCCGCTTGGCGCTTGCGTGCAAATATTTGGCTCAAGCGAACGACTATCCGATTGTGTGCGTCTGACGCGATTTTATTGTGTGTTTATCTTATTCCCGGCGTGAGTAACGCCAAGCATGAAGAATCTGGGTATCCAAAGCTACAAAAAGTCTACGGGTACCCACGGAGTATCGGGATACGCTAATTTTCGATTCCCTGTAAATGTGCGTGCTCTTGCGGTGCGAGTGTGGTATGGGTTGAACTATTGACATCTAATTACAGTCATTCTCTTAGTTTTCAGGGATTTTTTCAGCCCTGAAGGCATAGCTGCAGATGGCTGCCAAGTAACCCGGAGACGTAAGGGTAGGACACAATAACTCGCAGTTTAAATTTCTTCCTCGAGATTTCACCAGCGTTGAATTTTCCAGGCGTGCTGTAAACTTGGGAGAAAGGGCGAGCGGTACGACCGACGGCGCGACGCGTTCTGTCCTACAGCTGTTGCTCGCTGTTCGCGTCATCCTCGCTTCCAGTGTCTGTCCCTTACCTGCTCGTGCTCTGCTCTAATGGCCTCTCAAACCGGACGCGCCGCCGCTACGGCTCACTGCTGGAAAGTTACTGGAGGGAAAGAGCAGCAGAGTTGGAAGGAAGATGGAAGAGAACAGGTATCTCTCTCTTATCGGCAGACACGCACCATTCTCTCCACTCCCACCCAGAAAGCGGTGTCGAACATGACGCCTTGTGTTATCTTTCATCATCGGTTACCCTTTTTCCCGAGTATAGTTGTCAGCCACGACTACATCTGACAATAACATAGTGTTTCTGTTCCGCTTATGGTGATTGACACATATTTATGTAC